TTAATTTCTTAACTTAAATTCAAAGTTAATACTGATTAATCATTAATTTACACATTTCTAACCAAAACTTGTTTCTAAGAGTTAACACTGATCATAGAGAGCAATTGATCAAATTTTTCAATGAGTGTTTTGTATAAAAGGAAATACTTCTTCTGAAAAATATGGATACTATTGAGATAAAGAAACTGGGAACATTCTGACTACAAATCATACTCTGGGCTTAGCCTCTGGTTGTTTCTGATAAGTTAATGGAAAACACTGCTGCTTCTAACTGGCCTTCTAAAATATGATTTAGATAACTGATTATCTCATTTAATTAAGCGGCCATTTCATTCCCATCTGTGTGCCCAAAAGAAAACGTTTCTTGTGCAGGAACCGCCTGTCCATATTTGGGCAGATGGTTATGTTTTAGGGATACCGTGTCTAAAACTCAGGTTTCATCATGTTCCTCTCTCTGCAGTGCCTTTGACATTTTTAAAATTGATATATCTTCCAAAATGATATCATATCCTAGGAAAACGTATGCTGTTGTTGCAGTCTTAGTAAATCTATATAGCCCCAGATTTCTGAGACAGCGGTTTACTGAGATTTTGGAAGACCTCTCTATAATCACAGAAATTTGGGGATGATTACTGTGGTGATATAATAGAGGATCCTTAGATTAGGTCAGGGGTGGGGAACCCGTGGCCTGGAAGCCACATGTGACCTTCTAAGTCCTCAGGTGCAGCCCTTTGAATCCAAACTTTACAGAACAAATCCTTTTATTGGATTTAGTTAAAGGGTTGCACTAGCTTCAAGGCCCCAGGTTACCTACCCTGGGCCAGGCTGTTCACAGGCATTGAGAAAAGTTCATAGTACCTTCCTCAAAAAATTTGAGATGCCAGGGAGAGTAGACAGAGAGGTAAATAAATGGGAAATGTGGGCAAGTGAGTACATAGATTGTAGAGCTAGTGGAGAGAAGACAGTCCCAAGACAGGAGAATGGCTAAAACTAAAACCTGGCTGAACTGGAAGCTGTGAAAATAGACCAGTAAAGTCCCTTCAATAGCAATGTTTTTTTTTTTTAGGCTTTTCTGGAGTTTACATCTCAGTCTCTTTGGATGTCCCTTTCAGACTGATCTGGAGTCTTGTGTAAGGAGAAAGAGGTATATAATCTCTATCACAGCTTTCTCTCTACTTTATTTGAACGTGTTTTTCTATTGCTTAAGACTACTAATATATTACATGGCCATTCACAATTTCATCTAAACCTATCAATCAGCCTATGGTTCAAAATAAAGATAGGAAAACTTCCATCACAAGTGAGATGTCGCTGATTTTTCCTATATGGCAGGGACCAAGCAAATTTGGTAATTTCTGAGAATATTCCAGAATATTCCAGAGTCCACAAGACTCTAGAAAGAGAAACAATAAGCAGATGAGCCAGTAATGGAAAGGAATGGGGGTTGGTCACATGCCCCTGCCTATACCTGGAAAGCACTGCCTCATATTACCACACTCCATATAGCTATACATGTTCGAGATCATATATACAGGTTTGAGAAAGAGAGTGTGACAAAGTTGGCCAGAGTTAGGAAAAGGATGAGATAAAGGAATATCATGTATTCTTATTGTTATAGTCCATTATCCCAGCGGATCTGTGATGTCACTGATATGTGTACTACCTTCAGTGCTGCAGAATGCATCAAACTCAATGAATGGCCAATCATTCTATGCAACTCTTGTCCATGTTTCCCTAAAAATCCAAAATAGAGGGTTCTCCAAATGGCATGAGGGTTTTCTTCTGGTTCTCTGGACATTGAGTGAATATGAAAGGAACATGTGAGCTGTCTATCAGTTACTCTTCATTCTTATCATATGATTAAGTCCACCTTTTTGTTTCCAATCCTACATTTTTCTGAGAACATGTCTAGATTGAGAGAATTCATTTTCTCCAGTTGTATGACCACTCAATCATTGGACAAGGATCTCACATTTAAAATACCTATGGCTAATCAATTAATCACCTGCTGTCTGTGTGCCAGGTGCTGCACTACTTGTTAATGATATAAATAAAAAATAAAAACAGTACCTGCTCTCATGAAGAACTGTATATAAGGAAAGAACAGCTAAGTTAATGTTTATAGATCATATAAAGTAATGTCATTCTGAAGACCCATTACCCCTAAACTCCACCATTATGTTACTATCAGTGCACAATTAGAAAGAGGGACCACTAGATTAAGGACTATTTTGTATATTGCTTTTATTTCATGGAATATCAAAGCCAAATAGTTCATCAGTGGGGGGCCAGCTATGGGTGATAAACCTCCCCATACTCTGTTAGGATGGTTCTCAGAAAGCACAGTCCATTGCTGAGCCTATACTGTTGATATTGTGATTTTCATAACATGTAAACCTTCATTCTTTTATTTTCATTCATGTTTTCAAAATGTCCCCTTTGGTTCTTTCTCCATGGGAAGTGGTCAGCCAGGAGGAGCTAAGCGGCCACGTTAATAATAGCAGCTACTAAATTAATGTTCCAACAAGAAAGGGCCCCTGTGGTGACTGCCTTCCACTCTGAAAGAAAAGCTCAATGGATTGCCCTTAGAAAAACGTGTCTTAAATGTGGCCGTACTGTATATTGTCTGCTCAAACACGAGATTCAAACTTCTGAGCTTTGTCAACATCTTTAAGGTTTTCATTCCATTTATACCACACAATTTTGATTTCCTGATTCACAGGACAAAAGGCAAAAGAAGAAACCTTGAAAGACTTTTTGTCCATAAGGATAGTTTACATAATACGTACAGATGAGTAAACATAAAGAAAACTTGGTTATGGTTCTTCAAGAATTTTACCCCTGGGCTCTGCTTGCATCTGGCAAAAGATCAATCTGCATGAAAGGGCAGCTTGGTATAATAGAAGGAACCCTGGTTTAAGGAGTCTGGTGACTGAGTTATAGCCATGGATCTGATACTATTTCACTGTGTGACCTTAAGCAAGCCACTGTTTACCTCTTTGTCATATATGGGTTGCCTCATCACATGGATCAATCAATAATCACTCTTTAAGCACTCGGCACTAAGCAAGATACCATAGATAACAAAAATGAAAATGAAATAGTCCCTGCCCTCAAGATGTTTATATTCTAGCAGGGCATTTGATTCTTCCAATCATACCTATTTTCCAGGCAAGAAACTTAGAGTTTAAGTGACTTGTTCAAGGTCATATACATGGCTAGTAAGTTAAGGAGCATGGACTCAAACCCTGGCCTTCTGAGTCCAACTCTGGGGTTTTAGTATGAATGAATGGTAATGTGTTTATTAATGACAATAATAATTGACATTTAAATAAATGCTTTAAGGTTTGTAAATACTTGGCATTTGATACACCTCATGTGACCTTCACAACAACCCAGTAAGGCAAGTACCATAGGCATTATTATCCTTGTATTATAGATGATAAAACTGAGGGTCAGAGGGGTTAAGTGATGACTTGCCTATGGTCATACTGCTAATATGTGTTAATTGCTCAAATTTAAACCAAGGACCCTCCTGACTCTAAAAGACCAAACCTCTTTCCACTACACCGTATATCTCTAAAGTATTAAAGGCATTCGTCTGCCTTTAGCTGATGGGAATGCAATTTATTTGGAGGTAAAGTTTATCTGAATGCGTCTTCAGCAGAAAGAAGAAAGTGACAAACAGCTTAAAGACTATTCATACAGATGTCTTCTATATTGTTCCAGCTCATTGAGCTCAGATACTTTGGTTAGAGCACCAATCAAAAAACCCTACATTTAGGAGACATTTGAAAAACATGTAATCCAAATAGAAAGCTCTCCTAATGAATGTGTAACTACCACTGACAAGCTGTTTTCCAATCCTAGTCTTTCTTATCAGAAAATAGGTTTTGCATATCTTCTAACCTTAAGCTACAAGGTGAGACCAAATGACTCCTGCAGATTCAGGGAATGTTACTTTTGGGGATTATTTGTTGGTTTGTTAGAATGCATTTTCTTGAGATTGTCACCTGGCATTATAGTTACTCTTCCAGCTCAGGTGGCTATTTATGGCAGAATTTTGGTGGTGAGAATTCTGGTTCATTTACTTTGCTAAATGTGAAACTTCTGGGAAAAAGGATGCTAAGGGAAAAGCATGATCAGGCAAATTTTTTGTTCTTATTTTCAGAACTGGGAGAATGGAGCAAGTTCAAGCCAGCTCAAATACCAGTTTCTGCAGGAAGTCATTTCTAATACATCTGAATTCTATGTCTTTTCCTTACTGCTTATTTCCAATTTATCATATATATATACATATATATATGTATATATACGTATATATATATACATATATATGTGTATATATATATTATATATACACACACACATACATACATATGTACATATACATATATACATATATAAATATAAATATATATATAGCTTGTTTGTACATAATTGTTTGCATGTTGTCTCCTCTTTTAGACAGCTGAGACTATCTTTTATCTTGTTTTGTATTCCCAGTGCTTAGCACATTGCCTGGTACATAATAGGTACTTAATAAATGTTTATTGACTGACTGACTACAACTTCTATACATAAGAAAGAGAAATAACCATGTAAGATACTTGGTAATTTCCAAAAGGTGATGTTTTCTCTTTCGGTAAGCAATCTTTCAATTTCTTTCTTCTGGAATGGTAGGTATACATCTTTATCTTCACAGAAAACAGAAGATATTCCAATATATGTCACCACCAAAACTGATCTTTTTATAACTATAATATATAATCATTAATATAGTATGTAAAATAAAAATATTTACTGTATGAGGATTTATGAGCTATGAAAATAAGCATCTGTACACCTTTAATGTATAAATCTATCTGCCTGTCATTCCTAAGCCCAGCTTTCTATCACTTATGAAAAGAAGCCTCCAATATTTAGAATTTCTACTGACTAATTACGTGATTTGTGTTATTTTCTATTTAATTATGGATTAAACTAGAAAGATTACTCACCTCTGTTTCAGCTGGCAATCACAGGGGACCTCGGATCAGATTAATGAAATCTAAAAGAAAACATAAAAAACCCTGTTAATTCAATTAGTTGAAGGAAAAGTATTCAGAACTTATATGCAATTTTTAACACAGGTAAATAATAAGGAATAGCTGGACAATTTCTGAAATAGGATTACTATACCATATCACCAACTTCTCCTTTTGTTAAAGTACCTCTGATGAGGGTACAACCAACATTCTAATACTTCCAGGTTACCAACCTCAGAGGTATGTTCAATTTTGCACTTTCTATCACTTCCCCCATCTAGCCAATGGCCAAGTAGTACCTCTACTTCTACCTCCCCAGCATCTCTTACATCCACCCCCTTCTCACCATTCCCCAGGCAACCACCCTAGGAAGTCAAGCCCTTATCACCTTACATCTGGACTAGTGCAACAGCTTCCTAGTTGGTTTTGCCTTATCTCTCCCCTCTCTAACCCATTCTCTACAGAATTATCAATGTTACCTTCCTATATCACAAGTCAGACCATATCACAACCCTGTTCAAGAATCTTTGTTGGTTCAATATTGGCTCTAGGACAAAATGCAAATTCAATTAGAAATTTCAAACACTTTTCAACTCAGTCGTAGCTATTTCATATAACTTCTCTTCACTCACTCTATGTTCTAGGATTTGCTATTCTCTGAACTCAGGATTACATTTCCCCTCCCTATGTCTTTGCATGATTATTCCTGATTTCTAGAATACACTCCCTTTTTTCAAGGCTTAAGTCAGGCAATGCCTCCTTTTTGAAGTCTTTCTTGATCCACCAAGAAGTTATTAGTACTCAACCTCCCCTCAAATTTTCTTGCACTCACAGCAATGTCAGTGTTCCATTTCCCCAGTGAAATGTAAGCTCATTGAGGGTAAGGATTTTGTCATTCTGTCTCTGTAGCCTTTGAAGATAGCTATAGCACAGTGGATAGAGCACTGGGCCTAGAGTAAGGAAGATCTGAGGTCAAATCCAGTCTCATTTGCTTACTAGCTTTGTCGCCCTGACTAGCGCAGGGCCTGGCATAAAATAGGCACTATATAAATGCTTATGACCTTCCACCTAGAAGGCATTTAAAAGATGCTCATTGAATGTTGAATGAAAGAGGGATAGCCTCATTACATCTGCTAGGAAATAACTAATTTAATTTTACAAAGTAAAAATGTTACAAAGAATGAAAAAGTGCTAAAAGATCCTGAAAATCAAGCCGCCCAATTATTAATTTACAGAAAGCTGAGTCCCTGGAGAGGTTAACTTGTTTGTTCAAGGTATCAGAATAAGTTAATGGCAAAAGAAGGACTAAAACCTAGGGTTCTTGAATCCCAAGCCAAAGCTCTTTCTAATATAGCATGTATTTATTCAGCAATTGTACAGCTATAGAACTTTCATGCTTATATTCTTTCCAGACTTCCTTTGGAAATCTAGAGTCTATGCCTAAAATTAGATTTGTTTGGATTTTTTCATATATATATACATATATGTATATATACACACATATATACACATATATATGTGTGTGTATATATATACACATATTCATATATACATATATGCATGTATGTATATATACACACATATATACATATATGCATGTATGTATATATTCACATATGTGTGTGTATGTGTATGTATATATATATATATATATATATATATATATGTAATGTTTTCTAGATGAAGTTAGTCCTAATACTTGCATTCTATGGTCTAATATGCCATCCAAAAGACGTGTTCTTAGGAATTCTGTATTTAGTGGATTAGCATTTCTCTTGAAAGAAGTTTTGACTTTAAATTAAAAATGGCAGATATTTGAATCTTTAATCTGTTCTGAGTACATTTATAGACAAGCTTCATGGTTTTTTCCCCACACTACCACTGACCTTGAGATGGTCAATGTTTAATTTGGATAAGCAAATCTGTTTTAATAAAACTAAAGTCAAATATTATCTTCCATCGTGAAAATCTAAGCAGCCTATTAATCGCCATTAGCATCTTGCAGCTTAAAATAGATCACTAAATTTTATTGAGGGACACTGTGAAGTGAAATGAGGCCCCCATTTATCTCTCCTTACACATGCACACACCTCCACACACACACACACACACACACACACACACACACATTATGGAAATTAGGCATTCTGTTTTGCTGGTTAGCAGATAAAGACAACATATAAGTATCATGGAGACCTTTAATTTTGTACAAGAAAAAACTTGTAATTACAAGGAGTCCCCAATTTAAAGAGATTGCATTGATCAGATTGATATTTCGAACTTGGAAGCTATTTGCCAACGTGAAAAAATAAGTCATAAAAATTATGCTTAAGTTCCAAGGCTAGCTCACAAATGCCTCTTCTACCAAGACATGGTTAAAATAATGTACACTTTCAATGAACAACAGAAGAAAGCAAAACATTCTGTGAGTCTACTGTTGTCAGTGGTTCTATATATCCAAATTCACTTTGAAGTTAATGATTTTCTTTTCCACGATACAGGTGTATCACAAATATAACTTTACATTTATCAGCTATGATTCATGCCCCTTTTGACTACACAGATAAAATGAAGAATGGGAAAAGAAAAGGGAAAAGAGATAGCAGAGAAAGAGGGGAGAAGAGACAGAAAACATGTTTTCCTGAAGCAATTTAGCATGAATTATAAGAAAGAGAGGATGAAAGATGGAGATTAAAGAAATATGTAGACATGTAGAAAGAAATTGGATGGAATTAAATTAGTGATGAGTAATGAAGGACAAAGGAAAAAGAAGGAGAGAGAGGAGAGAGAGAGAGAGAGAGAGAGAGAGAGAGAGAGAGAGAGAGAGAGAGAAGTCTACCTATGATGTACATATCTCTATCTATATATGTGTGTGTATATATACACATATACATTTACAATGGTCTTAATATCCTTCTTGTTGCTAAATAAGAATCATCCCCTACAAGGGGCTGGGGGAGAAATGAAGTGGAAAGGAAGAAATAATGGGTCACATAGCTTCTTGCATTAACCAGCAAATGATGGCTTATTCCAGAATAGCTTGTTTGCTATCCAGATCCAGCAATGTAAGTAAATTTATGGAGAGTGAACATAGACATGAGAGACAGGCAATGTGCAACCAGGTGACTGTACATTTAAGACTTGTACTATCTTTGCCTCTCCTCTCCTGGTGAACAAATTAATCAGGAAAGTATAGTAATATTCCCCCCAAACCCCTTCATGCTAGATGTAGTGGATTGTCATCTAGGATAATTTGAACAATAATACATAGCTACTCCCTGGAGATCCATTGGGGCCCAACTGGAGATGAGGGAGGCAGAATGTTCCCAATCCCTAGGTGAATTTTTGTAAAGCAAAAAAAAAAATTGGCAAGAATAGCATAAAGAGAAGCTCCACAAATTATATTTCTTTGTTTTGCTCTGTGTTATAAGCAGAAATGACTTGTAGAAGTTTTAGAATATTTCTTTCTGAAATGGTAATATGGCTACCCATAACAAAGAAAAATTTTCTCTGGCTGAATGGTATGGGGAATGAAGCAGGAACCATAAGAAGGCAACATTGGATGTCATTTGCTAGTAGTTTTAGCAGTAGTAAAAAAAGGGTGACAAGGACATCTGCAATAAATTACATAGGACAACATGAAGAGCTGTAACTGAGAGTGAGGCTAACTACAATGGTCTAAAGGAGGAGTCCTCTACTGAGCATCTGTGATAGTCAATCCAGGTTGGGAACCCTGCACAATCATGACTACATGGCAATGTGATGTAATGGATCAGACCATTGGGTATAAAGCCCCAAATCTCGAGTACAAGTCTTAACTATGCCACTTGTTACCTGTGTGACCTTAGGGAATTCAAGTATTTTATTTCAAACCTCTCATGGCATCCCCTCTCCTCCCCTCTCAGTTGAATACCTTTGTTTATATTTCAGTGAAAAGAAAATGATCCCCTATACTTCATCTCATATTTCTCTGTTATTCTCTGCTGTTTCCTCCTCCAATCCAGGCTATGATTATGAGGTGACTCCTCCCCTTGCCAAAGGCAATTCCTCTTCATTTACCCCTTTAATCCTATTTCCTTCCATGTTCTCCAAAAGATTGCCCCCACTATCACCTCTCTCATCTCTACTCTTCAATACCTTCCTATATTCTAGTTTCTTCCCAGCTGCTTACAAACACCACCAAGTCTTCGCCAGCTTTAAAAATTAGGAATCTTCATCCTTGCTAGTTATATCTCTCCTTCCTTTCTCAGCTAAATGCCTTGAGAAAACTACCTAAATTAATTGCCTTCACTTCTTCCTTTCTCTCTCTCTCTCTCTCTCTCTCTCCCCCTCCTATAAGCTATGTAATGTGTTCCCTCTAAAGTTGCCAATAATCTTTTAATTGCAAAATTTAATGGCCTTTTCTTAGTCCTTGACCACTTGTAGTATCTGACACTGCTGACTACAAGCTATTCCTGGATATTCTCTTCTCTTTTGAATTTCCCAGCACATAGCTTTCCCTTCAGTCTCTTTCTACCCATCTGACCATTGGTCCTTTCTTGCTGAATCAGTATCCATGTTGTACTCATTTACTGTGGGTTTACCTCAAGGCTCTATCCTGGGACCTCTTCTCTTTTTTATTTATTATCTTTACTTGGTAGTCTTATTAATGATCAAGGTTCAATTATCTCTTCTATATAGTTTCTTTCCATATCTATATCCAGCCCCTAGTCAGTGTCCTGACCTTCAGCCCTGAATCACCAATTGCCTTTAGGAGGATGGTTCAAATTGGATGTCATCTTAAAATGAACATGTTTGAAATAGATCTCATTGTCTTTACCCCCAAACCTATCCCTCTTCTGAATTTCTATCTTTCTGCCCAGGGCACCACTAGCCTTCCAGGCACCTAGGCTCCCAATTCCAGTGTCACTCTTTATGTCACCCTCATTATATACTGCTTGCCCCACATGGCCAACCAGCTGCCCAATTCTTGTGATATCTTTCTCTTCAACATCTTTTGCACACTTTCGCTCTTCCCCATTCA